AGGGTCATCTTGATTTCTCAGCCCAATCCTCTGGTCTTGGTAGGAAGATGCCTTGTTAGACAGATGGTCCTGGGGGAAGACAACCGGGGCTGTGTGTGGGCCAGCTCGGGGGTGCTGGCTCACAGGGAGAGTAGCTGCGAGTCCAGGGGCCTGCTTCTAATGGCATCAGCAGAGAGGAGAGCAGGTGTGTCAGCCCGGTGCCCTCTCAGCCCCGAACTGCCACTCATACCCCGTTTCCCGTCTACATTGGAGAAGGGGATTTACAAAACAAGATATGGGTGGGAGTTGTTCTTCTTAGACACCGTTGTCATTGGTGAGGATGGACAATTTCCTTCTAGCACACCTGGGCGGTTCCCGTGGTGCCCGCGGCAGACCCCAGTACCAGACATCAGTGCTTAGAGTATCTGTTAGGGGGGCGGGGAGACCTAAGCAGTTTCATTGGCTGCCACCCCATCCACCCAGGTCTCTGCTCTGTTGCCAGGTGTTTCCTTAAGTCCACATCCCGTGCCAGAGGCAGCTCATAGCTTCCCACAACCTCTCAGGGTTCTTGTGCTGCAAGTGGCACCATCATCTATCACGTTACCCAGGCTCATGGCCCGCTCTCTCCTTTCCTGCCACCCCCCAGGGCAAGGGCTCTGGCATGTGCCTGCTTGACATCACATAGACTCATGCCATCCCTTCCTCTTGACCCCAGCAGAACTAGGCCTTCTACTCCCTGGAAGCCCTGTGTTTTCTGGGTGGTGGACCTTTCAGCCTGTCGTGATGACTTGTGTGTCCCTCCCCACTCACCTGTGAGCACCTGGTTACTGTGGCCATGGGTCTCTGCACAGTGCCTAAGCATCTATGGGGCAGAAAAGGGAAAGCCCAGTAGAGCTGCTAGCAAGTGCAATTCACAGTTGAGTAGCTATGAAGTCCAGGGATTGCAGTTATTTTTCAAAATTGCCATAAAAGGCCAAAATGTTCTTGAGGCTACAAGAAGGAGTGGGAGGTGAAGGAGTAAGATTTGGTGTAGGGTGTGAGGGAGAGTTTAGGTGGACGTGTTAGCATGCGTAAGTGTGGTGTGTGCTTGTGGGGGTGGAGCTGGCAGCTGTAGTGTGTGTCAGAGGGAACGGGTCTGCATGCATGCCTGTCTCTGCTGTGGCCAGGCCCTGTGCCTCAGTGTTGGCACACAAGTGTGGCCCCCCAGTGTGGCACTACGGAGCTGCTGGGGGTTTGTTCAAGCTGCAAGATAGCCCCGTTGATGGGACAGGTCTCAGGAAAAATGCCATGTCTTTTGGTTCCTGTGCAGAAAGTGGGTGGTCACCCCTGGGGGCCACCTGCTGCTCGCCGTCTGCATGCTTCCTTCTTTCTGGGCCACTCTGGTGAGGAGCTTTGTGTCTGAGAGCTGACTGACCCTGAGTGCTTTTTCTCCTTTCTCTTCCTTCCTACAGTCAGTTCTGAATGTGATCAGTGAGCTGCAGGAGCAGATGTGTAGGCTGCAGCTGGACATCCACAGGCAGATCCAAGAGCGCCTCTTACTCAGTAGGGGCTACCCAGAGGAGGTGGCGCCCGGTGACGGTGCTGCCAGTGACGGCGCGGCCGAGCCCCCGCCCTGCAGCCAGGACTGTGCCTGTTGGGAGGGGTCACCTGTAGGAACCACACTTAAGTATATCAGAGCATGCGTGTGGGGGTATTTCACGGATGGAGGGGCTGGGGTTTCTCCTAACCACAAGTGCGTGCAGTGGCTTAACATGGCTCTATTGTTACCTCTGGGCTGAGCTCTGTGACCCTCACTGAGCAGGGTCTGAGCAGGTGAGGCCAACCCTTGGACAGGTGGTGGCACCCGTCTTCCTCGTCTGGGATTGAGGTGTGTCAGGTGCCCTGAGGGATGGGGCATTCTTGCAAAAGGAAACCTCCAGAGTCCCCTTCCCAGGTGTGAGTCAGATACCGATTCTCCTCCTGGGCTGGGAGATTGATTAAAGTTCCAATTTTTTAAAGATTTTATTTATTTGAGAGAGAGAGAGCACAAGCAGGGCGTGTGTGTGGGGGGGGGGGGAGTCAGAGGGAGAAGCAGGTCCCCTGCTGAGCAGGGAGCCCAATACAAGGCTCGATCCCAGGACCCTGGGATCATGGCTTGAGCTGAAGGCAGATGCTTAACCGACTACGCCACCCAGGCACCCCAGGATTTTTTTTTTTTAAGAAAATATAGCATCATGAAAGAATCCTTTCAAGTTTATTTTTAAAGAAGTTGATCCCCAGTGAGAAAATAGAACACAAGTTTCCATTTGCTACGACAGTGAGGTCATCATCTGAATGTCTAGGAAAAATTTCCCACTTAATCACATTAGAGGGATTTCACAACCTCTGGGCCCTCTGGGGTGTATCTGAATGAGGTCCTGGACTTGGCCCCTCACACTGGTGAGACTGGGTCCCATGTACCCTGGCTGGGCCTGGTGATGGAAGCTGCATGGAGATCACCTGTGCCCCCAAGGCTTGCTGTTGAAGAGGACTTGAAAGCCTGAGGGAAGGTCAAGGTCACAGTAGCCATGAGTACTGCAGACGGTCTGCCTCGGTTCTGTGGGAAGTTAACCACGATCCATACTCAACTGTGGAACATGTGGAAACTCTACCCAGACTCAGACATTAGGGGAGGAGCTTGGGGGCAGGGGGTTTGAGGTTGGGGGGAGATTTCCTTCTACATTAAATAAAATGATAAGAGGGGAAAAAAATGAGAGTCCAGATATAAGTGTGCATTTGGATAGGGAAGTGCTGAGAAGGTTCTGGGCCTGCCCTATGCTGAGTGGGTCACCCCAGAAAGATGTCTGAAAGAGGCTAAAATTTGCACCAGTGTTTATAGCCGCTGATCGGCAGCAGACAACCTAGAAAGAGTGTGCCAAAAGAGGTCAACACAGAGCCTGGCTGCGTCGTGCTCTGTGTCGCCTGGAGGCGGCCTCTCAGGCAGGGCCAGAAATGTTCTCCCCAAACCATCCTGGATCAGCTGCAAGTCCCACCAGGCCTTAAAGTCTAACGCTGCAGGTCATGGGTGCAATGATTTTAGCTTGGAAGACATTTTTTTAAAAGGGCATCAACAAATGTTTTCCTTAGCTGTGAGAAAATCTTGATGAATTACCCTACAAAATTCAAGGGTAAGCAGTGTAACTTTTAGGCGGATGGTCTCAGCTCCAGGCCAGTTAAATGCTGAACTGAATTTCACATGTTCGTTCATCAGGAAGTAATGCGTACCTACTGTGTGCCGGAAAGGAGCAACACAGACTTGGAGTTAGCCAACTCCTTAAGGAGTTCACAGCATCGGGGGAGAACTAGCCCTTAGCAAGCCTACCAGTAAATGTCTGATTGCAAATGATGTAGGAGAGTTCCAGGGTGCCCCGTGGGAGTGTAGCCGGGGGCCTGATGAAGTGTAGAGGCCTGAAGGATCGGGGGGAATTAACCCAGCAGACAGCTCCAGACAAGAGGGAGCCGTGTGCATGAAGGCCCACGTCGAAAGCGGAACTAAAAAGTAGCCAGCGTGGCTGGTGCCTCACGGGGGGGAGGGTAGTATCAAGGGCAGGCAGGGTGCTGGGCCAAGCTGGGCAGTGCTGGCAAGAGCTTACGAGTTTTGAGGAGCAGGGGAGAATGCCAGGATCAGAGATGTCCTTTCATCGTATTGTTCCCCTGGGTGGTATGGGGGTTAGGGGCTCCAAGAAGGACAAGATGACAGAGGAGCAGGCCCTGGAGAGACTGCCCAGGCTGTGGACAAGAACTGCTAGGTCAGAGTTGGGGAGAAAGGAGAGATTCCTTTCCCTGGAGGTAGAATTAGCAAGGCTTGGGGATGCATTAATCAGTGAGGGAGAGCAAGGTGCCAAGAATGGGCGCCAGGTTTCTGGCACAGGCGGGTAGGTGTATGGAGATGCCATTTAGTGGCACAGGAATGTCTACAAGGGGGAATTAAGTGTCCCATCTGGGCCACGACTGTTGTGAGATGCCTGCGTGGAGGTGTTAAGTAGGGAGTCTCTGGGAATCTGGAGTTTAGAAAGTCTGGAAGTGATCGCTTTCAGGCTAACTTTTCTGATAGGAACCAGTCAGCAGGACCAATTGTCCGTTAAAGGAGCCTTGGTTTGGGACAAGGGTGCTTAGCAGTGTCATCTTTGCTAAAGGGGTAGTTTAGAGAGCAAGGGCCCTGTAGTCAGAAGAAACAGACCTGATTCACCACAGGCAAGTTGTTCAACGATTTCTTCCTCATTCAGCAACCTTCAGTGGCTCCCTGCTGGCCAAGAATGGCATCCAAGCTCCTTATAACCTCATCCAGAGCCTTTCCAGTAGGGCCTCACCTTATCTCTCGGGCCTCACCTGCCACTGCATGCCACTGTCCTCTGCCCCAGTCCAACAGCCCGTCTCCCTTTCCGCCTCCTGCGTCTGCCCTTTGCTGGGATGCCTTCTCCCTCCCTCCTTTCTTCAAGTGGACCCACTCCCCTGCCCTGGAACGCTCAGACTGGCTCTATATTTGGCATTTGGCCTATTAGTGTTTTCTGCCCTGCTGGTTATCCCTTCCTCTCTGGAGCCTTCCAGGGTCACACGTCCCTCTTCCAGGTTCCTCGACCTCCCAGCACAGAGAGATGCTCCCACCTAGCCTGCTTCCTGCTACTTTGTGTGAAGCTGCCTCATTTTTGCATCTGTTGCTCTCGCTCACACATCCTACCTGTCCTGGCCCCCACACACTTGTGCATGATCTGGGCGCACCCCGCAGAGGACATGGATGTCAGAAAGGGGCAGGCAGAGCAGGTTCTAAAAATAAGAACGTTTTCTCTTCCTGTGCCTGAAACTCCCTGGCTTCTGTTTTCTAATGGCCCAAACAGCTTTTCCTGAAACAGGACCATGGTTCAAGATTCGAGCGGCAGTCCGGAGCATGACGCAGGTGCTCCTGCCCGTGGCATCCTCTGCATGAACCTAACCAGGGTTGTAGGTCCAGGGACTGTCATGCTCTGTCACCATCAGAATTCTGTTTTTCTCCCTCATCCCTCTAGGAGTTACTGCAAGAGCTCAAGCACCTCAAAATCAAGGTGGAAGAGTTGGAGAATGAACGGAATCAGTATGAGTGGAAGCTGAAGGCCACTAAGGTACGAGGTGGTTCTGATGCTTTCTGAGAGTCGCTGAGGTCCACTGGGGAAGGTCTGTGTTCAAGCTCAGGGTTTGCTGTAGCCTGAGCTGGAAACACGCAGATTGACCCTCCTGTGCACACACAGACAGCTTTGATCCAGAAGGCTCTTTTCATAGGGAGAGGCCCTTGAGATTAGGCGCTGCTGGAGTAGCTGAGTCTCCTTCCTCTTGCTGTGCTCCATAGCACCCCTAGGCTGATGTGCGACCAGGAAGGGGCTGTGAGCAAGTGAGAAGTCTTAAGGCAGATGAACGCCAATGTTATACTGGCTGCCTCATTTTAAATGTAGCAGTCCCCTTAACACTGTTTTTAAATAATGTTTTTAAAATAGACATGCTTTATTTTTAGCCTTGAATGCGTATTTTATATATATATAAATATACTTTATTGTTTTAACGAGGTCATGTTTCTATTGAACTGGGGAGCCCGGCTGCCCTGGGGGGTGGGGGTAAGAAACAGCCCTGGAGAAGCATTCCTGGGCGAGGGAGCCTCTGAATGCACATCTAGTATTTCACTAAGGTCTCTGCAGCGCCACCCAGAGGTGTTACCAGATTTTCATGTTTACTTCTTACTAGAGTTTTAAAAATTCCTTAAGAATTTTCTTCACTTCTAGTTTGCAATTTTTTTTTCTGTAAGTTAACTTTTAATGACCATAAAAACAGTACTCATTATAGGGGATTTTTAAGCCATAAAAAATGAATAAAGATCACTTCTTCCCCGCCCCCCCCCCCCCCCAGGAGCTACCATTTGTAGTATTTCCTTCTAGGAATTTCTCTTTATGGCATGCTATTAAAATTCTGAACATGATACTGATGTCTGCATAACCTGTTGTACAGAATGATTTTCTTCACCACTGTACGGATGAGGAAGCTGAGGCACAGAGCAGCTGAGTAACTTTCCCAAGATCTTACCAAGTCAGCACCAACCCTAGGCAATCCAAACCCGCTTATCTACAGCTCTGTTTTTATCTAAGGGTATCCTCGTATGTACAGTGCTTCCGTTACTGTTCCAGGAGCAGTGGTTTTCTCAAAGAGCTCAGAACCTTCTGTCACAGGGTTCCACTCAAGCGAGTGCTGTCTCCGGGAAGCCTCCGAAGTTGTACACACCACCCGTTAGGAAACCAAATAACTCTTCTTAGATCGCCAAAGCTCTTTGCCTTGACATATAGACCTTTGAGATACGACAGGTTATTTAGTAACTCCCAGGTGTGGGGCACCTCCCGTGTGCCAGAACACATCAAGACTTTACCTGCTTTTTCTTGTTTGATCCATAAAATAAGCTAGTGAGGTCTATGAGTTTACTATCCTCATTTTAGTGGTAAGAAAACCGAGGCTCAGAGTGGCCAAGATGAGGTTCTAGTCTGGATCTGTGTCATTCCAAAAACCATGCTCTTTTCCCTATAAAATCCTGATTCCCTATGGTAAAAACCTGTACTGTTCTTGAAAGTTCTCTTCAGTTATCTGTGTAAAGCTTGTCAGCCCTTGCAGGCCATTCATTTTCCAGTGCAGCAGCAGCAGGGCGTGCTCCCTGGGCTTAACGAGGCGGAGTATTTGCAGAGACCTGGGGCGCCCCTCTGCCTGGTGCCAGTTTGCATGCCTTTGCCTCGGATCTCTTGCCACACAGCTGCAGCCTCAGCGGCTGTGGCAGGAGCATCCTTTGCCCTCGTAGTTAGGTAGAGAGCCTGTGGGCTGTTGTGGCCTAGACTCCCCAGCTATGGGGACACCTGTCATTTCTGGCCCGTTCTGTGGAAATTGACACATGGGAGGTTGGGCCCAGGCACTTAATCTGTAAGGTTTTAAGTGATGACCTCCCCCAGAGGCAGGCCTCAGAGAGAAGAGACCTCCTTATGCCAGGTGCTGGGCTCTGCCTCCATGGGCCCACATCACTGAAAACTACCCTGGGTCCCGCAGACAAGCACTGGGCATCCAGATTCCTAACAGAGACCAGCTCTCACTCCGACTGCAAAGAAAGAGGAAAATGGTTGTGGGAGGTACAAGAGGGATTAGGAAACTGTCTTCTAAGAACAGTATGGTCCTTGTAGGAATGAGAGGAGTTTGGACTGCAGGTCTCGAGGCTGAGGTTTTCAGAAGCCACTGACCCCGTTAGTGGTCAGCCATGGGCAGCGAGGCCCTCGGTGAGCTGTGGAAAGCTGCCGCCTGGCTGTGGGTCTCAGCAAGCCGTGTGATGTAGCGGGGCTTGGCTCCCTGGCCTCTGTGGGTCGGTACCACCGAGCAGAGGGGCAGTGCTCCATAGGACACTTTGGAGTAAGGAGATCCTACCTCATTGTTCTTTACATGGTCATCTCTTTCCCGTTTGGGGGATATCGGGGAAGGTTTATTCAGGGACCCTGAGGTGGGCTCAGGGAGCCCCCGCCCCCTAATAGTGGCCCCCATGTGTGCTAGTAACTCTGAAGCATGCAGGCCACTGTGGGTAGCAGCCGGCTTCGGAGCAGGTGGGGTTTGCATCCTGGGCACTTGTCCTGGTTCCTCCCCAGAAGCAACATGCAGGGATATTGCTTCCTCCCATGGTTTCCTGTGAGGAGTGAGTGAGGTTTGATGTAAGAAATCAGCAAGCACAGGGGCAGAGTGGGCGCTCCGTCAGAGTGTCCTGAAACCGAACACAAGGCCTGTTGGGCAGAGGGGCCACCAACAGGCTCAACAGGCTCAGGGCTCGTCTGGTTACTTGAAATTGTTCAAAGTTAACTCTGGCCTGTGTGGGAAGGATGGCCCACCGCGTAACCTTGAGGCATGAGGGGGGATGTGGCTGGGCTCCCCCCACAGGAAGGGATGGCCGGAGGACAGGGCCCCGCTGTGTGTTGACAGGCTCCGGAGTTAGTCCTTACCCCCTTACTTTGGTTGGATACTCCGAGAACTAGCTGGTTATCCACAAGGAAAGGAATACGATGAGAGGAGCCACAGTATCTCTTTTATTGAGCACTTACTGTCTACCAAGCATTAGGCTAAGTTGTCCGTGACCATTATCTTACTTAATCCTCACCACAGCCCTATGAGGTAGATGCTATTTTCCCTGTTTCATAGATGAGGCAAGACTCAGAAAGGTTAACTTGCCTAAGGTCACCCAGCCAGGAAATGAGAGAATCCAAGTTTGGCTCCAAAGCCATTGTGCCCGGTGGGATGGGACCAACACAGTTCTGATCTTCTCATGAGTATGGGAAGGCGTGGACAATCACACCTACTGTCATGTGTGAAATTTAACCTGCTCTGCTTAGTAGAGATGTGGGAACCACCCAGTACAACAGTCCATGTACGTCTGTGTATGAATGTATGTATGCGGGTTTGTGGCTGTACTTACATGCTTTATTTGCAACAGTGTATCTGCTCGGCACACCTAAATGCTTGTATGTGTGGACATGAGGGTGAGCGTGCGCAGGTGCCTGGAGGCTGGGCAGGGGCCGTGCCTATGCATGACGGGTGGGAGAGTACTTGCAGGAGGAACTCTTGGCTTACTCTTTGTCTACCAGTAGTGGTTTGATTTCCCCTATCCTTCCTGTATGGGCTGGGAGAATGAAAGATGTGTGCACTTGTCACAATGGTGTACATACATGCTCTTGCATGAATCTCTCGGGAGAAGGAAGACCACAGCCAGAAAGAGAATATCCATCAGCAGCCCTCCCATTGCACACCATCCCAGCTTGTCAGGCCTCCGGGGTGATTGGGCCTCAGAGGGCAGGGAAGAGAAAGAGCCTGGTCAGGTAGGAGGATGCAGGTGACCAGCCCGAGCTGTGGTCAGGGCCAGATTGACCAGGAAGAATGAGTTCCTTGGGCAGAGCTCCCTGTTGTGGGGAGGGCAGTAAGCACCTCCCACTGCGCACCCCTGACACCTCTGCTCCTGACTTACCCACAGGTTCCAGGACCCATTGGTCCTGGGCTGTGAACCACTTGAGGTACTCCATCACAGTCTGGTAGTCCCTCTGAGCTCCCGGGGATCCCTCTGTTGCTCTTTCAGGCTGAGGTCGCCCAGCTGCAAGAGCAGGTGGCCCTGAAGGATGCAGAAATTGAGCGTCTGCACAGCCAGCTCTCCCGGACTGCAGCCCTCCACAGTGACCATGCAGAGAAAGGTAACCGGCTAGGCCATGATAGGATGTGCTTGCCCCTGGGCCCCGGGCATGTGTGTCCATGAGTGCGTATGTGTATGCCTGTGTGGGTAGGCATGCTGATGTGTGCATGTGTCCTGTGTGTGTGCAAACATGTCCTAGTGAACAGATGCACATGGGTGTGTGTGCACATGTGTGAGCTTGAACGGGCCTATAAAGCACAGCTCTGTTGTAGACTCATTGCCGTGAACCTCTCGCGTGTAGTCTGGTCACTAAGCTCTGTGCAGCTACCTCTGGAGCTCTTCTTTCACTTGATTGAACAGACTTGTTTTGTGTCATCCCCATGGGGGAGGCTTTAGTGATTCACTCACTTAGTGGATGTCCGCCTGATACTCATACAAGGCCCTGAGGTCACAGGAACAAAGCAATTATTTTTCATCCTTTAGATCTCAACTTCAGTGTTACCCCTCAGAAAGACCTATTCTGGCCACCCTGCCTCAACGAGGTGCCCCCCCTGCCCCAGTCCTGTTTTTCTCTAACTCGGCATTCTTCTTATTTCCGTCCTAGCACTTAACATGTATCAGGGCTGCACTGGGGGAGGTCTCTTGGTGTAGACTGTTGTCCTCACTGTGGGGCCAGGCCTGTGTCTATTCTCTTTAAGACCAGATCCCACAGAGCTTCACACAGCATTCAGCCGTGGTAGGCTCCTAAGAAATACTGAGTAAATGAAAGGATGGTGAATGGACCTTGATAAGTTCAAGTCTGCTGATTAAAAAGGGAAGGATGAATCCTCAGATCCTCTTATTCACACCTGTTTAATATCTACAGCTCTTCACCTGGTGTACAAAATGATCGCATACCTTCCGACTTCTCCCCTGTCAGCCTTAGCGCTGCTTCGCTTAGGTCCCTGGCTGGGGTAGGGAAGCCATGCAGCCCTGAAGGAATGACTCGGGCTAGAGAAGGAAATTAGTGGCCCATATGTTCATCCCTCCCCCAGCCTTCCTCAGTGTCTTCCGAAGCCTCTGAGCATGTCCCCTACCTGCCAAGGCTCAAGGTGGAGGCTGGGGCCCCCTGAGATATCCTAGCCTCTCTGTGATGCTTAACCTGCACAGAACACTTTCTGTGCCCTGATTCTAGGCCAGGCAGCCTTCCCCTGCCACCTTATGCTTCTCTACAGTCCAGGCCTTCTAGTCCATCATCAGATAACTCTTGGAGCTGGTCCTTTGATCGTTTGCTGCTCAAGTTGGGCTCTGCCCAAAGCACTGAGGTTTGCCAGTCTTCACATGGAGCTTACCACCCTCCTCCCAAAAATGGGAGAGCTGTAGAGCTGATCTTGAGCTGCCAAGAGCCTAAGATAGTGAGCAGGCACTTTGAAAATGAATCCCTTTGCCTATTTACACAAAGTCTGTAAATTTACTCTTCCTATTCTTGTTGTAAGTGGGATGCCTGTAGTTTGGTTCCTTTGTCTCCTGCGCTTTGCTTGCAGTAATCAGTTTAGGAATAGGGATAGGTCCTTGTTTTGAAACTCCAGTCATGTGACAATCCCTAGGCCTAAATATTTAGAATGACCTCCAGCTCCTTTAGGCACTGGCCTTTGGCCCTGGAGACCAGTTGGGGAAGAAATCAAGAGTCCCTATTTGGCCCAGAGTGAGAGCAGGCCATGGGTTGTCCACCACAGATGGACACAGGCACCTTGGCCCACAGGGAAATTCTATATGTTTATGAAATAGGATAGTTTTCCTTAACTGTAGAGTTTGTTTTAATATATTTATAGATGTGTCTAAACATTTTTTAGTCAGTTCTGACTATACCCTTTTAAATTAAGCCAAGTACCCAGCTCTTTTACATAATCATTCTTTTCTCATCTTCATTCAGCTGTAGACTTTTTTTTTTTATTATTTTAAATTCGACTTTGCCACAATCCATGGGACTGTATTTCTCCAAAACTAGTTGGCAGCCCAGGTGCGTGCCCACTCAAGTAATCACTGATAAATGTCTGTATTCTTCAGAGATGTTGATTTTGAAAGATTTGGGGGTTCTTCTGTGTCACCTTTGAGTAAATGGTATTTTGATTTTCCCCACTAATGTCTATAAAGAGAAGATAAAATACTAAGCTCATCCATTCATTTAGCAGTCCAACAAATGTTGAATGAGACTGACGATTGCCAGACATCATCACAGGCTCTTAAAGAAGTAAAAGAGCCCATGTGCGATTTATTCACAAGGAAAGTGTCAGCAGCTTAGCATGTGGGGATGGCTGTCTGTGTTTACATAATTCTTCCTATACCTAAATTCTTTTAGACCAAGAAATTCAACATCTGAAAATGGGGATGGAAACTTTGCTTGCTGCCAATGAGGATAAGGTAAGGGGCAGCCTTCTTCTTCCTCTGCTGGCATCTTCGGCTGTGCGGTCCCTCCTGGTCTCTGATATTTGGGGCAGGGCCATGCCCAACAGGCCACTGACCCAGGGCTGTGTCAGGAGAATGGCTTCTGCCTCTTAGAGACTGAACCTCAGCCACCTGTTTTTGGCCTTGATGCCTGGGAACTTTGCCTAAGTGAAATCTCCCAGAGGCAGATTAAAGTCGTACCTGTTCATGCTGGTGTGGGGAAAATAAAATACCACCGTGGTTATTGCCAACATCATAACTGCTGTTTAGACTCCTGGCAAAACGTGACAACAGTGCACCAGTCTCCTATGTGCACAGTCTGGTGGTAGACTCATCACAGAGACACAAGGCAGCATGTGATGTGCTTAACCTCCTGCCTTCTGTCCTTCACATCTGATTCCTGCATAATCCTAGAGTAGCCTCCTCTTTAACTAGAGAGCACCTACCTGGGACGAGCATCAGCTCTGAGGACCACAGCCCTGCGTCTTATAGATGAGACTGAGATTCAGAGTACTTGAGGAGTTTTGTCCAAGGTCAGGTAACAGTAGGTATTGGAGCCAGGGTTTACCCCCAGGCTATCTAATGCCAAAATCCGTGTGGCCTCCCAAGCCCCCAGACCTTGGCTGAAAGAAATGGTCTCCTCTGGGAATTCTGTCTGTCTCAAAAGGAATCTCAGACTCCCCAGAAACAGGTGAGGGTCCTGGATAAACACGCCAGCTTTATTTTAATCTTTCTTTGTGTAAGAAAGGGCTCCAGAGGACAATAGTTGAACCGGGAGACAGATTTCTAAGGCTACCCCAGGAGGGTAGGAAGATAGTGAGCTTCCTGATCCAGAAATGTGTTTCTTAGGTTCCATGTAGCATCTCTACTCAGTGTGCCCAGAACATAGTGTGGGCCCCACATGAAATCCTCGGAAGAGCCAGCAGTGGTGTTCACGTATAGTCTGTTCTCACACTGTGACAGGACCGTCGGATACAGGAGCTCACAGGGCTGCTAAACCAGTACCGACGGGTGAAGGAGATGATGATGGCAACTCAAGGTGAGGGCAAGGAGGGTTCTGCCATTTTCTCCCAGAGGTATTTCGTCGACTGCATTAAACCCAGGGGCATTTCACCAGAAGGCTCTTCATCTTCATTTGGAGAAGATCCTCTGCTGGAGAATGGAGCTGGTTAGACTGTCCTGGACAGTGGGAAATTGGCAGCTGTTGATTTCTAGAAACTATGTCTAGTCCTGAGCTCCCAGGGACTAAGCAGATCATCAAGAAAATAAAGCCATCAGTGCGAGCCCTTGGGAATCACCATCCTTGGATTCCCAGGATACCCCTTAGGGGCAGTGAGTGCAGTCAAACCTCCACCAAAAATCAGTTTGGTACCCTCCTGGGGGATTAGAGCTTGTCCACCTCCTGAAGAATCTAAAAGCTCCCCCAGCAGATTCTCAGGGACTCAGGGAGCCTTGCTTGAGTCCCTGGGTGCTGGGGTTCCTCAGGAAGGCACAGGGCAGGGAGAGCTGTCCGTGTTTCATATTGGCAGCCCGGGCTGAACCCACCATGCACACAGTGTTAGTGTTCGTATGAGCACAGCAGGCTGTATGCCAGGCTGCCTGCCTTATCCTTCATGCCATTGACCTGGGCTCCCATCACAGTCTGGGAAAGCAGCTGCTTCGCAGGAGGGGCGCGCTCTGAGGGTATTCAGAGACCTCTCATTCTGGCCGAGCTTCTGCTGGCCCTACACACATATCACTGCCCTGTTCTCCCTCTTCCTTTGGTATTTGGGGTCAAGTAACAAGAGCCTGATTGCTTGTGGCCAAGGAATGAGAAGGTTGGGGTGGAATACTAGGGGTTGCCTTCTCGCTGTTCCACACATGAACTTTGCCCTTGAGATGATCTTCATGGTCATGAGAGCCCTTCTTCAGATGCCCTGAAGAATCTTACGAGTCACACTCTTAATGTACCTTTATATATTCCTTAGGCTCCCTTAATGAAGGAGAAAGACTGTTAGAATTTTGCATAATTACTCCGCGGTAGTGATCCCCCCCTTCTGCATTAATGCTTCCAGGGCCTTCCGAAAGAACTCTCTCAATCAATGAAGAAGAACTTGAGGGAAGTTTCAGAAAGTGGAACCCTGCGAATAAAGGCCCTGAAGAATTACTTAAACCAGAGGTGCTATGTTTCATCCATGCTGTGGGGTTTCGGCAGGCCCTAGGAGCTTACATTGAGCTTGGGGGAGGATCTGATCAGGTACCTGTCAGGTATAAATCTTGACAGGTGAGACATTAAATGGATGGAGTGACCCCCAAGGCCTTGGGGAGAACATTGAGGGTGGAAACGGATCCAGGCACTGGCCTGTGTTCTGACTGGGAGGGGCAGCATCATGGATACTGGACTTGCAAGGGTAGGAATTAATCAGTCCAGTTCCCTGTTTCTTTCTGTCTTTCCTCTCTGGGGTGTAAGCAGAGACCAAAGGTGGTTTCATTTTATTTCCCCATTTCTCCAGTGTCTGTAACAGTGCCCGACGCACAGGAGAATGCAGATATTTGTCGAATGGATGAATGTGTCTTGCTTGTTGAGGGGTATAAATTCAACTGTTGCTGGGATCTGTTCCTATTTCAGACACCCCCTCCAGCCCCTGTTACCAGCAGACAGATTTTCTTTCTCTTACACAAATCTCTCTGCATTTAGACTAGATACAAATAAGCAAATAAACTCATAGATCCAGATCTCAAGGGGAAAAGGGGCTTTGGCCCAGGATATAAAAGGTTCATGAAACTCTGGAATGGCCAAACTGAAGAGGATCTTAGGGGTCTAGCTCAACTCTTTTAATTAAGGGAGGAGCAAAAATGTCACCAAGTGTCCTAGTTAATCAAGTCAGACAAACATTACAGATTGCTGACAATATTATGGAAGCAATGATTGACGCTCAGTACCTCTGTGTGGTCACTGTGATGAACACTGTCCATGGCTCTCACCTCATTTCTCCCCATGACACCCTCATGGGATTCTTATTTTATTGTGAAGCTGAGGTTCAGAGAGGGTAATGAATCTGCTCTAGGTCACACAGCAGCTAGATGGCAGAACCTGGAGTTGGACCCTGACCAAAAAGCCCAGGCCTTTAACAACTGTATTATAATGCCGGGGTTTTCCCGACAGTAGATCAAAAAGGTATTTACTAGGCTCTAGAGAAAAGGTCATCTTTGCACTTAGTACAATACTGAAAACATCAAACTGTGTCCTCTGTAGATGCCACCATTAGCTCATGGTCCCCCTGTAATGCTCTTCCCTTTTTGTCTTCTCACTAAGCCCATTCTTATTTCTCAAGTGTTCTCCCCTCTGAAGCCCCTTTCTGAAGCATCCCTCCCTCCTCTCCATCCCTATATTGCCTTATAGGTATCAGTACCGTAAGAATCTCCACTCTGATCTTTTATCCTAATTGTCTGCCTGTCTGCTGTGGGGAGCACTTACCCAAACCCAGCATGGGGCCTGGCAGGCCATGGAGGTTGCTCATGTTTGTTAAGTGAATGTATCAATTCTAGTGCTTCTCGTTGTAAGCACCAGAAATCGACTCTGGCTAACCTACACCAAGAAGGCACGTTTTTGAAAGGGGTGCTTGATGGCTTCCTGCATGAAAGGAAAAACTGAAGAAACCAGCTCAGAAAGGGCAGGAGCAGCAGGGTCCCCAGGGGTTCAGGTGTCAGGACTCTACTGCAGAGATACCGACGTAGGTCTGGGGTGGAGGGGCAGGTTGGCCCACGTTTCCAATACTCCTTTCTCCTGGGCATCCGGAAAGAGCAAGGCACCTGTATTGACAGAGCCATCGTGGCTGAACCTAGGGAAGGAAGTAGAACTCCTCAAGGGGAGTTGTCCAAAGAAGGAGAAAGGATGGTAGGTGGTCTTCGGACAGTAACTGTCGCCTACAGTGATGTCTGTTTCTGGTGCAGATGCCTCCAAGATGTAGCTCTCCCACCATGGGGCCACCTCCACTACCACAGAAATCACTGGAAACCAGGTAGGGGTCCTGATCCTGTCCCCAGAGCTGCTGTTCCCTCAGCCTATCCTTGGGGCTCCTGCATGGCAGGGACTGGCCATGCATGGTGAGCACAGCCACATGTCCTGGGCACATCTCCCCTTCCACTGAGCAGCCCTCCAGGCCCTGGCAGTGGCCACAGTGTGGCCCAGGCCGTGGAGCAGTCACGAAGTGTGCCTGCCTCCCCTGGCCACAGAGGGGCTTCCCTTCCCATGGGCTAAGGGTCTGGGCCATTGTCACTTAGAAAAGACCTGGCCAGGGTTTGGATCCTCAAAGGGGAGGTGGCTGCAGGTCATCTGTGCCCCCCAGGGGGCTCCTAGGGGCTGGGAGCATCCCATGACATAGGTCTCATTTTCATCAGCCCCCTCTTGAAAGTCCTTCCTGCTCTCAGGAGTCCTAGAGCCCTGTGACAGTCCCATTTCCCCAGGGAGAGCCATTTCTCCTACAGAGAGGTTGATCCAGTTGCTTTGGGGAAGCTTCACATGGCAATGAGCTCATAATGGGCTGGCCTGTGAGGTCACCTGGCTGCCCCCTGTCTGGTTCCCTCTAAAATGAACCTATTTCTAGCTCCCTATGTCAGCAATTTAGAACACACTTCCAAGTTGTGCCCCATGTAGTGGAGATACAGAGGCTCCCACTGCCAAGAGCAGACTGTCTTTCAGGGACGGTGTCTGGGGAAATTGGCCGTAAGTATGATGGAAGCTTCTCCAGAATGGTGCTGAGGCTCCAGAACATACGGTGCTCAGGACCCAACTTTCTAGAGAGCCGTTGTTTCCCTCAGCCTTTAGCCCTAGAGAAAAATGTCAGTGTCAAAGACAGCAATTGGCAGTCAGTTTTGCACAATAAGAAATTTAGTTTAGGAGTTCACTCAGGAGGAAGTCAACACTGATTAACTCACACTGACCAGACTCACAGGAGACCAATGTACTAAGAGATTCTGCTTTATTCATATAAACTGAGAAACATAACTGCCAAGGAGACTTGTCACAAGGTAACCCTTGTGACCACTGGTGGCACGGCCTCTTCTCTATACAGTTGATGCCCTTCTGCAAAATAACCTCTGAAAAAGCAAATTCCTCTGAGCAGAGTAGTCAGGGCATACAGAGCTAGGGCAAAGGGTTGGAAGATTCTAGCAGGGTGCTCCGGAGCTGTGGCTGGCTGAAATACTCATCTTCACTCTAGTGTGGGACAGCTCCTTCCTCCCTGGACTACGTATTAAATAAATGGACAAAGCAGAGTCTTTTCTTTTGAGACTACAGACCAGTTAGCTTCCATTGATGTAATAGAATTGAGTGTATTCTAGATTTTCAAGGAATGCCGAGGCCTTTTGATTTGGATTTAAATGATGCTCTCATGCCCTCAGCAACACATTGACCAGGCTATCCCTGGAGGTGGGCCAGTCTCCTATGTAGTGGTTGTGATGAGAGGGTGGCTTTTTCCTGACCTTATCACTAAACCCACTTAACAGACTACTGGTAAAATACTTGGTATGTCCTCTCCATGAATGAGCTCCTTGTCTAGTAACTGTTTCATTGTTCCCTTTCTTTTGTGTTTTTTCCAGAGCTCAGAAAAAACTCTCGTGTAGCCTAGAAGACTTGAGAAGTGAACCTGTGGACAAGGTCAGCCCCTCAGTCTCTCCATAAAGACTCCTGAGTTACGTACCCGGCAGTCCTGGGACTCACAGGTCCCACCTTGTAGAGGCCTTTCTGACGCTGACAGGGAGGCAGGAATTACATGAAATTTTTGAGAAAACCAGTCAGGTGTGGCCCGAGGCCTCAGAGGCAGGGCAGGGCAGGGCATGCTGCCTGGAACTGATGGAGAAGATGTAGAGGTGAGCACAGGCAGGTTTTGGGAAATGGTGGGGAGCATGAGGATATAAGTTCAGAGCCACGAGTCAGATCAAACCCTAGAAGGTCTTGAGTCCTGGCTCTGTATCCCCAGAGCCACTCTGGGAGCATTGCAGGGCTTTTGAGTGAGGAAGTAATGGGATAAAGTGATGAGCCCAGGAGTGAGTTATGGGATAAATTTAGGAGATTGGAGAGGAAGCTTTTTTTAAGAGTCTAGAGAGATGTGAGGAGGGCTTTGTGGCCCCTTATTTGAGGGTAGCCCTTGACCATGTGGGTGTCCCTGGTGCTGGAGGGGGAGGTCGCAGGTTCTTGAGCAAGGTCACTGGAGACCAGGGCTCCTTCCCTGATAGAGCACCTTTATGGAGCCCTGCCGCATGCCGTCCCTTGGTCTGAGCAGGGTACCAGCGCCGGTAATTACAAAGGAAACCCATGAAGACTGGAGCTGGTAGGAGCCACGGGGCCCCTTCAGTGGCTCTGCCCCTATGGTCCTGTGCCTCTTGCTCTCCCCGGTCAGATTGCTGGCAGCTGCCCAGAACATCTGTCCATGGGGTGGGCAGTGACCTGTGTTTCCTCCATGGGTGGTGATTACCTGTCAGAAAGATGGGGAGGGAGGGAATGAGCCTTGCAGCTGGAAGCAGGCAGGTGGTCCTGAGTTGTAGTTTGCAACTAACACGGGTGTCTCTTTCTCCACGCAATTGAAATCCTTGCCGCTGTACAGTGTGTCAATGGGAACCAGCTCCCAGGGGTAGAAGCCAAGGTACAGTAACTGCGTGCCCCTATCGTGCATTTGTGGTTGCATGTCTGCTGGAGTTTTCCTGGAGCAGGTTACAGCTTTTGGAAGTATGTGAATTAAAGGGAAAAGAGCGCAGGAGGAAAGACAAAGCCTCCTCTCCCGTTTTCTGCTTCTGTGCACCCCGCTGTGTAGTGTGACTTCATGTCATTGTGTGATGGGATTTCTTGAAAAACTCGTCCTTAACAAGGCATTGTCGATCTGATTGCTGGGAGGGGGCGGTTAGGCTTTCCACACCCGGCCAGAGGAGCGGGACAGCTCTTATCCTTTCTGCGCTCATGTGTCATGGCCAAACACAGGGGCGCACTCAGCCACCGGGGCAGGAATCTCTGTGGCATCCCCCAGCGTTGGTGTCTGGCCCTTGCTTTCTGTGACTGGGAGCTCATAACATCTTTCCCAGCTCTAGTGGATATGTCTTCTGGGCTTCCCTAGAGTGTGCGCCCGCTGAGCCCGGCTGTCCCTCTGGAGCCCCTGGAATGAACCAGTCTCCCCTGCTCCTGACTGCTCCAGAATCGAAGTTCCTCAGGCCTTCTCTGAGTCGAACATCCTCTTCTGTGTGCAGATCACAGGCCTTTAAAGTTCCCATTCATTCTCCTTAGGGTCAGCACTGGTTTCTCCAGCCTGTGCCCTGGACCACACTTGAGCACGGTGTTCTAGATGGGGTCTGACCTAGGGACTGCTCCTGGACTTACTGCTGTCACTCCAGGCCCTGCGCATGGGGATATTTCTTGTGCCTCTGCTCACGTGCTGTCCTGGTGTGCTCAGCCCGAGGCAGGAATTGTTCCCCATTGAGAAACAATAGAACAGGCTGTGGGAGGCTATAAAGGGAAAGCGCTTTGCCTGTGTCCCTCTGACACAAAGCCCGTGTTCTTGCCGCTCTGGTGCGCTGCCTCCCCGTTCCAGCGTAAGGCAGCGGGGATTTCCATATTCCCCCGCAACCAGCCTTATTCTTCTGTTCCTTCTGGGTCCTGTCCTGACCTTGACCCTCTCCAGCAGTGAGGCCTTCCTTCCCACCTGTCCTTCTTGGCTGAACAGAGCTGAGAGCCCTTTCTGTAGCCCTTGAGTCCTTTTGTGGTCTTTCTCACAGGCCTGGGCCGCCTGTCCTGGGCTGGGTTCTGGCCTCTTCCCCTCAGCTCCGCAGTGGGCACCCAGGGTGCAGCCCATGTTGGCGGCCTCGGTCGTCCCTGCCCTGTCTTGAGGGGTGGAGGGTGGGCGCGCATGTGTGACGATGCAGCCAGAAACCTGGTTTTGAGGGCCCTTCCCCGCCCCCCTATTTCCTATGTCATGGGGAACCTGGAGTCACAGTTCCCCAAGCCTTTTGAACACTGCCTTCCCCACAGCCACAGTGGTTCCAGGTCTGACTGTGCATCAGAGTAATCTGAAATGCTCTTTAAAAATACCCACACTTGGGGTGCACTCCCAGAGGGGCAGATTCATGGGACCAGGTACAGCCCGGGAACTCGGTCTGTGCCAGTGTCCCAGGTGACTGGAGCAACTGGTACAGGGACTAGCATTTGTAAACTGTTGGTCTGACCAGGTCCAATCTCTACCTCGTGGGTCATCATGAATTTAAAAATCATGCGGTCTCCCTATCTTAAGGTTCTGATTATTTCTGCTGCACCAGCCAGTTCTTTAGACTTCCTTGGAAATTTAATCTTTTTTTCACATCTCTCCTTTCTGAGCTTGTTTATAGGGGTTAGTAGTCCACGTTCAGTGAAGGAATTGGATTTCAAACAATTTCTAGGACTTGTATTTTATAAGCACACTGAATTCAGAAATTCGTTGGACACGGCTTTTAACTAAACGAAACTTCAAGAGATGTCTCCATCATTAAACTCTCCATTACTTTTCTGTCTTGTCCGTTTTGAAATCAGAACTTCCATATTCCTTTTCCTCTGGGCCCAATCAAGTAATCCACAGTCGATTTCCTTGGTAATGTTGCTTCATTTTCTCTTCTTACTCAAATGCATTCCACTGGGTTTCCCTTAGGTTTGTGGGTTTAGGGGCCATTATATCCTTTTTCTTAAAAATTCCAGTATAGTTAACATACAGTGTTATATTAGTTTCAGGTGTACAGTATAGTGACTCAGTAATTCTGTATGTTACTCAGTGCTCATCATGGTAACTGTACTCTTAATCCCCTTCACCTGTTTCACTCACGCCCCCCCACCTCCCCTCTGGTGACCATCCATTTGTTCTCTATAGTGAAGAGTCTGGTTTTTGTTTTGTATCTTTCTCACTTTGTTCATCTGTTTTATTTCTTAAATTCCACATGTGAGCGAAACCCTATGGTATTTGTTTTTCTCTGGCTGCATTATGTCCATCCTGACCAACTAAGTGCAGTTCTTTTCCCTTTACATTATCTTGTTTTTTGGGTACCCTTTCTGTGGTTAGGGTGTGTGCACAGGCCCGTTGCACTGGGGCTGAACCTCGTGCAGACTATGATCCTCAGCTCCCAAGGGAGTGGTTGGTGTGTTGCCCCCGGTCTGTTTTCTCTCATCATCTTCCGAGTGTGTGCATCCCTTCTCGCTTTGTCTTAACCTGGTGTTTTTCAAAATAACTGTTATCATAATATATACATATAACTTATACGTGATATCATAAATATATATAATAAAGCAACAGGTATACCCTTTACTAGAATTTGGGTTTGTTATTCAAAGTGCTCAAAGGGTCATTCATGCCTGTTAATTCGTCGCGCGTCCGAGCATCTGGCCAAATGGCAAAGCCCCCCCTTTGCCAGACACTTCCACTTTCTGTTTAGGGTCAGTTGCAGTCAGCCCTGGATTTGGGCCTGACTCTGTCCCTGTCTCCTTGTGTGGCCCTTGGGCAAGTTTCTCAGAACTCTGGTCCCTTTTCCTGGGCTAAATGATCTTTGCAAGGTCTCTGAGTTGGCCTGAGTGAAAAATGGCTCTTGGAAAGCTGAGTTGTCCCTGCCTCCAAAGGTTTCCTAACTGGGTTTGAGTCTGAGTCCGATGAGTTGATTCAACAGGTCTCTCTCTCTCTCCCCTTCTAATAGGACAGCCCTTTCCTGGTGGAGCACAAATACCCCACGTTCCCTGGGAAGCTTTCAGGAGCTACGCCCAATGGAGCGGCTGCCAAGTCGACTCCCACTGCCCCCCAACTGGAGCCCACAGGGAGCAGCCTGCCGAGGCTGAGTGAGTGTCCAGGCCCTGGGGGTGGCGGCCCACCGCTGGGGGATGGTGGGGGTGGGTGGATGGGACAGGCCGTCCCTCTGGGCGGCCTCACTGGCAGAGACCATGGCCCCCTGTCCGGGTTCATTGCTCCCTTTGGCAAGCCCTGTGGAGCGCCAGAGACCCAGGCTGGGGGCCGGCCCTCTCTGCGGTCACGTCCCCACCCCCGTTGGCCCTCTGAGTCCTCCTGTTTTGGCCCTTTGTGTCTTTCCCATCATCCCTCTGTCCCTTCCCTCTCAGACCCCTGACTGCAGCCTTCCCATCCCTCCCTCCCTCCTCCTCTGTCAACCTGATCGTCTCTCTCCTGGCTCTGCCTTCCTCTTGCAGCCTCCCCGTTACCAGTAGGATGATATTATGCACTCTTCCCAGGGAGAGTGTTTCCTCAGGAAACTGGAGTGGGCAAGGATGTCCGTTCACAGGTACCCTTTCAGTGCTTAGGGCCTGGAACCGTGGAGGTCTCTGCTGCTTTCCATGCAGAGCAGGCCGTCTTGCCTCAACAACAGCAGCAGATCTGTGGAGCTTAGGAGGGACCGTTCTGGTCCCTGCAGAGCTCTCCCTACCCTCCTCCTCCTGTCTGGCGGTTCGCTGAGCCAGCCCGTGGTTTGGCTTCTGCCCTTGGCCAGCACTGCCTCTGGCTGCAGAACTCCAGATAAGCTCTTGAATGAGTCTGTCCTAGTAACACTGAAACTCTGGACTTGCAACAGCTTCAGACCATCCTCGTCTGGTCTAAGGGAGCCCTGGCATCCACACAGGAGCTGCGTGTGGCCCGGTGTACCAGCCCCTGCTGCTCTCCCTCCCTCTGCCTGTGTGTATGGATGCCTCGGCCTGCCAGGGAGAGGCGCCGGGAGTATTTGGTCTCCTCACGTGAGGCCTCCTCTTACCGCACTGACCCCGTGGGCCAAGTTCAGTCACCGTTCCCCACCCCCTTTTCTCATGGGATTATTTTTCTTTCTGTTTGAGTTTTTCTCTCTTGCTCGATGACTCTTTTGTTTATTTCTTTGCTTCCCTATAACTCTGTTGGGCTGGACTTTGGCCTCTCTTGCTTCTTCATGTGGCTTCTCTGCTTCTTGGTTGGCTGGAGATCGTTGCCGGAGTGTCAGTGCCCCCGTATTAGGTACTGTACCCTTTCAGGTGAGGTGGAGGCTGAGATGCCCTTGTGTCCCTTCCCTGACACCCTCCCCTTCCGGAACATGCAGCCATGTCCCCCTCCTGCCTGCATCCCTGGTGCAGGGATGCATCTCCCTTGGGGGAAGGAGGAAGCTCCTTGTTGGGGTTACCCGCCAGTACTTGGACCCCTGAACCTCTAGCACTTGAAGACATTAGCTCACCCTGATTTGGAACCTTAACCTGTCCAGTCCTCAGAGAGAGTCTGGAGTGTGCCTGAGCCCCCTGCTGGTAGAGGTGTAACGTTCTGCTCTGTAGGCAGAGCATACTCTTCCCCACCTCCACTGAAAGATGGCCCTGGCCTGGGGACGAGGTTTTGAAGGTCATGTTCCTTCCTGACCTTCACACACCATTCCATTCTTTCCATCTCAGGAGACACGGAAAGTGGTTGGGACGACACTGTCGTGGCCAACGACCTCTCATCCACGTCATCGGGCACTGACTCAAGCCCCCAGTCTCCCCTGACGCCAGATGGTAAACGGAGCCCCAAAGGCATCAGGAAGTTCTGGGGAAAGTAAGTTGGTGGTGGTGATCATAATTACATTGCTTAGAATTAGTATTCTTCTTGAACGGCCAAAGAACCACATAGTCCCCTGTTTAATTAGATGTTGGAACAGCACTAGAAACAGAATGGCTGTTAGGGGGAAGAATTTGAGTTCTCTTTGTAGCAGTTGCCTACCTGCCCTTCATTCCAGGCATCACGCTTTCCCACAAACCCCGAGCATATTCTCTGCAGCTTACACCACATGTACTTTGGAAGAGACACATGACTGAGACCAACTTCTTCCTTCCCAGGGGTCAGTCTGTGTCTGAAGAAAGACTTGCTGGCCCCACTGACCCAGTCTGTGAAATGCGGCAGAAACGGGCCTCCTACCCCACATCACTCCTCACTTGGACCCCCCCAGGGCATGCCCTAAATCCAAGAGGCAGAATGAGAATTGAGGCTTGGGTCTGGGGTGCTGTCACAGGCCATGATCCTTGACCTTTGGGAGGCCCTGGGCAGCAGTGCCATGGAGAGTCCAGCGTCCAGCTGGTGTGGCCCTGCGTCGGGGGTGGTGCCCTGCCTACGTGCTCCGAGCTGCCCCCTGACAGTCTCCACGGACTCCTCTCCACACAGGATCCGAAGAACTCAGTCCGGGAACTTTAACACCGATGCCCCAGGGATGGCAGAATTTCGACGAGGTGGGCTCCGGGCAACTGCAGGGCCGAGGCTCTCCAGGACCAGAGACCCCAAGGGTCAGAAATGGTAAGGCTCCTTCTAGTCTATTGACAGAGAACTGTGAGATCTTGGCCAGGGATGCTCCTGAGATGGAAGGCAGAGCTTCTCCCCCTTTCCCGCTTGGCACCAGCAGATGTGGCTCATGCTTTACAGGCACACTGAGGTAAAGGCAAAAGGCTCCCTAAAAGCCACTGTGGGTGGTGGGCCCTCTGGCCTCCCTGGAACCTCAGCAGCTCTGCCCGTGTGTGATTCATTCTCAGCAGTAACTCGGCACGCTGGATTGAGAAGCTCTGGTGCAACCATTCTGGAACCAGTCTGCAACAGATTCTGGAATCATAAACCTGAGTTGGAATGTCCACTCAACCACTTCCTAGCGGCGAGCCTTAAACCAAGTTCTGTCACCCCTCTGTGCCTCAGTTTACTCATTTGTGAAGTGAGGAATCAAAAGAAGTATTAAAGTTCTTACGAGGATTACATCGCTACTACCCATCTAACCCAAGCATCAGCACTCTGCCACTCATGGGTCGACCTCCAGTAAAAGTGAGAAAGGACATTGTCCCCTGCCACCTGAGCAGGCCACATTGCCATTATGTGTCCTAAGACAAGGCGCCAAACTTTGCTGAAGGGTGTTAACTAAAGGGGGTGCCAGGGGGTGTGTGCCAGGGGAACCACAATGGGAACTTTTGCAGGAGTCTCTCATCACACCTGAATGAAAAAGCATGGAAAGAAGCTAAACTTTTCCCGGCCTGCCCTGTCTGCTCTGGTAGACATTCTCCAGTTAGTAGCTCTGCCCCTTTTCCTTAGGCCGCCCTATTCTGGGAAAGCGTGGCTCCCTCAGGCCTGCCCAGGTGAAACGGTACTCCTGTGTTTAGGAAAACCCCTTTCCATATCCTCTGATCTCTGTTCCCATCAGACAATTTCCACAAAACGTATCTCCAATAACTATCTCCTGAAGTCTGAGTTACTCAGCCAAGATCAGGCTTCTGGGGTCCTTTGTCAGGATTGGATTGTGACATTTTAAATCTAACCGGACAGTGAAAAGTAAAGTTTAACTCTCTTATATTTAACCCCTCTGAGATTGCCATCTACCAGTGCAGATTGTGAGTAAGAGGTGCGCAACTCCCGTGTCAGTCCTCGGGAACAGCACAGGCTGCATCCCAGTGACGAGAGAAGTGCGTTTCCCTAAAGCATCCTGTTTTTGGCAGACCTACCCTCCTCCCCAAGAAAGGGAACCCACGGATGCACACTCCCTTTCCCCACCCGGCCACGCCTGCGTTCTAGGCTTTCCAAGTTGGCTCGGGTGCAAGACATGGGGCCTTTCCAGATCCACCTGTGCGTCAAGGGGCATCCCCAGAGGTATTCTCCAGGTGCCATGCAGAGAGATGTGAGGGCGTATGGACTTAAGTACCTGCTCTCTCGGGATCGAGGCATTGGTATTACAAAAGTAAATGGTCAGTGAATGGTAGCTTTTGGAGGCAAGAGAAGGCAGAGCCATTCAGAGCCATTAAAAAGTGAGCCAAAGAAAGCTTATATATTCCACAAGAGCGTTCTAATTTGCTAGCAACTTTTTAAATGTAGACTTAAACATTTCTGATTTTTCAGAATGAAAATAATCTATAGTAAGCTTGCATGATTAACCTCAGCTCCAATTCTGGCGATTTTTTTTAGCGTTGTTTCACTGGCAGGGCTGTAAGAACTTTCTCTAAGACCCTCAGGCATTTTTCCTTAGTGCAGGACCGCATGGTTAGGAGGCCCGCATACCTTCGGCCAGCCATTTTGGGATGGGGTAACCAAAATCAGGAACTTTCTCTGTTGAAGGAAAAACTGCATTTCCAGCCACAGGGCTGCTTCGTGTGAATGTCTTTGTGCTTTGTTAAGCGTAACAAGGATGAGGAAGGGAAAGAAGGACATCCCGAGGAGATTGCTGCTTTTATGCTAACAGCGTTTGTGGTAAGGCCCTGTGTTCGCTGGTAGAAAAGAAAGGCCTTTATTACTCATCAGCGGAAATTTGATATAAACAAATGTCCTCTGGTATTTATAGATGTTTAGGTATAGCCTTTAAAAAGTCTCATCACCAATATCCCTGTAGAAAAAGTACTTGGTTACAGAAAATCTCCAGCCCCAGTCTCTCTCTTTTTTTTTTTTCCTAATGAAACACTTGTTTTTAAAATAATCCTGTGTGATAATGACATTTCCTAGGACTCCTCTCTGAGGTTATAGAAGAACGAATTTTATTGTGTTTTTTCCTCTCCTATAAAGTTTTACTGATTTACATTCCAGTTGGCACTGCGGCCCAGAGTGCCTGTCACCCCACAAAAAAATTACATTTTATTGTTAATTTAGTTTGCAGATGTTTGTCATTTTACTTTTTGTGAATTGTCTGCATTTTTTGCCCATTTTTGTTATTATCTGTCTTACAGACTTCTCTCTGCTCTCTCTCTATATTAAGACATGAAGCTCTGTCTAATAATTGTGATAAATTATGTTTTAGGCTTGTTGCAGAGTTTTACTTTATTCTGTGACACTTTGACGTATGGAATGTTTATGTTTACGTATAATGAGGTTCATTGAACTTTTCTGTTGTGGTGTTCATGTTAAATTTTTTCAGTGATTTTTTTTTTAAAAACTGTGTTTGAATCGTCTATTTGGGGATTTATTTTGGTATGTGGTGAGAGGTATTTTTATTTTTCCAAGAAAAAGCAGTAGTGTATAATGTTAAAGTCCGGCAGACTCGATGACATGGCTGGATCTCATCTCTGCAGGGATGATTTCTGAGTTGGCCTCCTGAGGGTCTTCAGTCAGACTCTTCTATTGCCTTTCTCCCGTATTCGTGGCATCAGGTTTATCCTGAATGTGAAAAAGTCTAAGCTTCAAGGTCCTTTGCTTGCACCTGGGTGTCTTCTAGGATCTAGAGAGAGTCCCATCAATGTGCTGACAAAGCCATGTGTTTTTCAAAACTTGCTAAGTAAGGTATTTTAACCCAAGCGGTTTTTGACTGCTGACTCTACTCCAACCTTCCCCGCGTCTGTACACTGCCTTCTGTCAGATGATGTTGGAGCAACATGGGCATTTGGGGGATCTGGCCAAGGGAAAGTTGAGTTTTGGGCATCCATTTAGTTTGGATTTGTTGGGATGTGCTTATGCGGTGTGCAGTCACTTCGTGTTTAGTTGACAAGCTGTCCTGTGTAAAAATGGCTCCCGGGATTCCCGCTACCCCCCGATGTGCCCACCTGCCTGGCACTCTGATACAAAGACGCAGAGTTGGCGATCGTGTCCCAGTATGAACGTGTCCTTTGGCACTCAGTATCAGAAGTATGGGGTAGTGGAAAAGAAACATTTCAAATGTATAAAACCAGAAGCTATTCTGTGAAAACTTTTTCCAGTCATTAGATCTGCGAAATCCCAGGCAAGGGATTTGGTTCTCTTGGAGGCTTAGTCAAAACAGAAGTTCTCTCTAGTCAGAAATGCACTTACTGATGAAGTGTATACAATTATAAATGCACCATATGCTCTTCCTCTTTCATGGGGATGGCTTATCTGATAATCTCTTACGTCATTTTAACCACAATTTGGAAAGATGTTTTGGAACATGTCAGTAAAGCAAATGGTTTGGCTGCGCCTGAAAGGTACCTTCTCTGTCCTCTTTAAATTACTTGATTGCGTGTTCAGCTGTAGCCCTGGGAGACCCCAGAACTGAAAGAACCTAGCGGGGGGAGGGGGTGGAGAAGCAGGGTCTGCCACTGTGGGAACAATGCAGGTGTAGGAGGGTGGAGACCATTTACTAAGAAGGACATGGGAATTCTGTCGAAGATGAGCACCAGAGCTGTAGAGCTTTTGAAAAGCTATACAAGACCGAGGTTTTCAAACTGTGATTTCAAAAACATTTTTCCTTCAGAACTGAAATACCCCTCTGATATATTACATATATATTTTTACCAATTTCCAGAAATAAGAAAAGGAGTGAAATCAAAAAGCTAACAGAACGTGAAATAAAAATGATAAAATGAACATTTGAAAGTGAAAGTATTCTGGCATTAAGGATAGACAAACGGGGCGCCTGGGTAGCGCAGTCAGTTAAGTGTCTGCCTTCAGCTCAGGTCATAATCCTGGAGTCCTGGGATGGAGCTCCCGCATCGGGCTCCCTGCTCCTTGGGGAGTCTGCTCTTCCCTCTCCTTCTGCACCGCCCCCCCCCCCCGTACTGTCTCTCTCTATCTCAAATAAGTGAAAAACCTTAAAAAAGAAAAAAAAACCAGACAAACCATAAGAGACTCCTAACTCTAGGGAACAAACTGAGGGCTGCTGGAGGTGAGGTGGGTGGGGGGATGGGGTAACTGGGTCATGGGTGTTAAGGAGAGCACTTGATGCAATGAGCAGTGAGTATTACATGCAACTGATGAGTCCCTAAACTCTACCTCTGAAACTAATAATACACTACATGTTAATCGATTGATTTAAAAAAAAACTAGCATCTCAAAAACAAAGAAGAAACAAAACCATTCCAGATCATACCAAAAGCAGTAATTCATTAAAAGCAAAGGATAAATTCCAAACAAAAACAGTGAATAGGTTCCTAGATTATTGTTCATATAAAGTGAATCGTATGAACACACTGGAAAAAGCTGAACTTTTCTTGATTTAACATGATCTAATACATCGGCAAAGATAACAAATTCGTAGTAGGAATTTATAAAAATATTTCTAGATTCCATGATTTTTTCAGTTTGATTAAATTTGTGATCTTTTGTGATTTATTATTCTATATATTTGTTCCTAATTCCATATTCAAATTTTGTACTTTTCTTAAGGCAGTCCATGCAAATTTTACAAGTTCTAGGTCTCACAAAACCTGGATCTGTACCTACTCATGGCTCATTATTCCACGTGGCCAGCACTTACCCCAGGACACCTAGAATCATGCTTTCTTTTTCATTACTTTTTTAAAAAATACTTACTTTTTACATCCTAGTCACTGACATTTTATTTATTTTCTAATTTAAATGCAATTAATTAACATATAATGTATTACTGGTTTCAGAGGTAGAGGTCATGCTGGTCTTTTAACTTCTTCATCTTAAGAACAACTCAACCGGGCATTCCAAAACAGTTTTTTAACCAGCATGGGGTTAGCGGTACTTTCCTGGAAGGAACCTTACAGACTGTCTGGTTTTCTACATTCCATAAATCCTGGTTGGTTTTTCCTCAAATGAACATAAAGTTGCTTTGCTAACCTCCCCCACCCCAGACTCCATGGAGGTTTCAAGTGTGCCATTATATTCACACTTAAATGAAAAATTGATGTCTTTAAGAACTGATGGCTTTGTAATACCCACCATCCCGTCTAGGAACATGATCTAGGTCTTGATTTATTCATGACTTGATGTTGCTCAGTTGCGTGTTACCGTCAGGGCCTCCCCCTGCACTGCCCTCATCCCCACACACACGGACATAAGACCCAGGCATTGCTTGTGAAGCAACTCCTAGACATTTTATAATTTTGGTTGCTATGAATGGGATTTTTAGATTAACAAAAATGTTAGTATGTGTGCTATTGATTTTGTAAGTCGTATAAATAAGGCATGTGTTTGATGACTAGTGACCTTACTGGGTTCTCTTGGGTTCTCCAGGTGGGGCGGCGCATCATCTGAGAAGAGTGGCTTTTTTACTTTTACCTTCTAGCCACCTTTTTTTCTCTTCTCATACTGGCTTTATTCTCAGACCCGTGTTATTAGTCCTGATTAAAAATACTCTTTTTATTGACTTTAATGTGAATGTCCTTAGTGTTTCATTAATAAAGCATTAGCTATTTAGAAGGTTTTTTTTTTAAGATTTTATTTTTTTGAAAATGAGAGAGAGAGAGAGCATGAGAGAGGGGGAGGGTCAGAGGGAGAAGCAGACTCCCTGCTGAGCAGGGAGCTCGATGTAGAACTCGATCCCGGGACTCCAGGATCATGACCTGAGCCACGCAGGAGCCTCTAGAAGGTTTTCTTTTTTAATGTTACAGAACTGACCCCCTTTTCCTACTTTTCTAAGCATTTCCCTAAAGTCAGTGTTGATCCATAAAAATCTTGTTGATAACATGATTAACCTCGTAACGGGGCACGATTCTGGGCTTGTGGCACGTGTGCCTCATAAGTGGACCGACGGCAAATAAACACGACCTCCTGAGAACCCCATGACTGGCCCATGCTCACAGTCGCTGCAGATTCGAAATTCACACCAGATGTTATCACAGGAATCTCTCGAGTGCACTACAAGTGAGTGTTGTTAGTAGAATTTCGTGCAGCAAGATCCCATGATTGGGATGGTTTAAAACACGGTTCCCTTTTCTCTGAGGCTCTGTTGTGCTCACATGCAGCCTCAGGCTCCCCCACTAACAGGGCCCTGCTGTTTTCCTACTCCCCAGTGACGCCAGTGCCCCCTTTGCCCAGTGGAGCACCGAGCGCGTGTGTGCGTGGCTGGAGGACTTCGGTCTGGGCCAGTACGTGATCTTCGCCCGGCAGTGGGTGACTTCTGGCCACACTTTACTGTCAGCTACCCCTCAGGACATGGAAAAGGTAAGGGCTGAGCCCCGGGAAGGAGGTTCCCCTTTCTCCTCAAACCAATGTCTGGTGAGGTGCGGCCCCCACTCCTCCTTCCCTTGTGCTTACACACACACACACACACATAACACACACACAGATGTCCTCTGTCACTGCAGGTCAATCCCAGGGCACTGTGCAGGGGTCCTCGGCCACACAACCCCCCCCCCCCCCCCGCCCCTGGGCGGGGGCCCCCGCCCCCCCCCCCCCCCCCCCCCGCCCCAAGATGGACTGTCTCCACCCAGACATGGCACCCTCCGAGGGTCAAGCTGCCAGCTGGAAGTTCACATCTGTCTTCATCTTTCAATTTCAGGAGTTGGGAATTAAGCAGCCTCTGCACAGGAAGAAGCTGATTTTAGCTGTGAAAGCCATCAACACCAAGCAGGAAGAGAAGTCTGCCCTGCTGGACCACATCTGGGTGACACGTAAGGACGAGCAGTATAGATGCATGCCTCTGGCAGCTCCTAAGGGTAACTTAGCACTTTGCCTAGGAATGCATGCCTCAAAGACTGTGCTCTCCTTGGGAAACGCAGAGGAGGGAGTTCCTTATGGGGAATCCAGCTGGACCCGCAAGATGATCATTCGTTGCTTTTTATTTATCTGCATTCACAGTCTCCCATTCTTAAGAGCCCGAGCACACCTGTTTCTTCTGGTTTCTGTAGGTTGGCTTGATGATATTGGCTTACCGCAATACAAAGACCAGTTTCATGAGTCCAGAGTCGATGGGCGAATGCTACAGTACCTAACTGTGGTGAGGATTTTCCCTTTCAGTGTTTTGGTTGTCCCTGCAAGCACTCAGCGCAGGTATCCCCATGGTGCTTATTTTAAACTTCTTCCACGTCCTCTCTCTTTTCTTAAGGTCTTTAAATAGTATTGTTGGTCACACAAGAGGTCCGAGGTGGCAGAGTAGGAACCATTGTGCTAAGAGAAGCTGCTGGTGTGTCCGTGTGCACTTTCTAAGATGTGGTAGACTTGTCTGTGTGTGGTCTAGGAAGGAATCTTAAGGGTCTTAGTCACCTTGGAAACTCTGGTTTATCAACCAGAACTCTTCTCTTCCAGAATGATCTCCTCTTCTTAAAAGTTACCAGCCAACTACATCATCTCAGCATCAAATGTGCCATTCATGTGCTGCACGTCAACAACTTCAACCCCCACTGCCTGCACCGGCGGCCAGCTGATGAGGTGAGGGCAGGATGGTACCGATCCTGGCAGCCCTGTGTGCAGGGTTAGGTGTGAGAAAACAAGAATGACCTCAGTGCAACATGGCTGCCTTCTGAACCAGGGTGCTTGGGATTCTTTCCTTTGCTAGTGCTTCATGGGGCTCCAAACACCCCCTGTTGCCTGCATTTTGTGCCCCACAACAGACACTAGACTTCTAAGCTCCCACCGCTCTTGGGGAGACCCATGTTCAGGGCCAGAGGCAGTAACAACAAGTCTTTCAAAGCCATCACAATGATCACAGATGATGAGGAAGTGGTGCAAAGGAGAAGGAGGGAAAGCAAATGGCAAGATGGGGTCAGAGTAGATAGAGGAGAGAAGATCCCATCTGGAACCAGACATTTCAAATCTCCCTACTTGTAGCTACGAAATTAGCTGGCCTCTAGTCCCAGGTGCACAGGGGATGGTGAGCAGGTTTTGCTAGAGAAGAAATAGTGTAGGTAAACACTGCAGTTCACATCCTGGAGAAGTGCCTGGTCATGTTCTACATGGCACGGAGCTCTTGTTGGGCCCCGAAGCTAAAGTCTTGTCAGTCACACCCTGTCTCCTGTATTCCTAGGAACTAAGTGTAACTGTGCTGTAAGATTAACTCCTCTTCCTGAGGGATTAAAAACTCCTACCTCCACCTTCCATCTCGTGTTCTCTCTATTCAGCAAATAAGTTTTGAATGCCTTGTGTATGTCTGGCAGAGCGCTGAGCATTTTGAAGACTAAGATGCCACTTAGGTCTAAGTGTCTTAATATGTGTTCCCCTGAAACATTTGGCCACACCCAGGAGATCTTTGTCTCTAAAACACTTGACTCTTAAATGATAGTCCTCTTTCAAGTTCTGTTGAATCACCGAATGAATGACTCTGTGCCTTCATTTACTAGTCCCAACCAGAGATTTAGGGAGTCACAGGGTTCTGGAATCGCATATTTCAGTGTAGAAGGTCTTGCAAGATTCTGTGAGAGCTCTATCTCTTAGAAACCGGGCAGGCTCTTAGGCAGCTGGGCTGGCTACCTGGCTCTGTGGGCAGGAGGGCTGTCTTCTGGTCGGGCATCTGAGGCAGGCTTACTCCCGGGGCTGGCCCCACAGGAGAGCACAAGTAGGACTTGTTAGACCCAGCTTTTCTCACTCTCTCCCTCTCCCTGTCACAGAGTAACCTTTCTCCTTCAGAAGTTGTGCAGTGGTCCAACCACAGGGTGATGGAATGGTTGCGATCTGTGGACCTGGCGGAGTACGCACCCAACCTTCGTGGGAGTGGTGTCCACGGAGGCCTCATCGTGAGTGGCTCTTTAGCCTAGCCCACCTGCTTCAGTGTAAACGGGGGTATTCAGAAACTGATTTCTTCATGGCTAGACATAAATCCTAGGAAAAAATATTGATAGCCCTTGCATCAATTGAAATCTCAAAATATTTGATAATTTGCAGTTGGGAATGAATATACCTCATGGAAACGAGATGGTTTCTGGAAAGGTCTTCTGTAGCAACAGATCCAGAGGGATCCAGGACAAATGGGTTGCATAAGTCAGGCCTTAACGCGGCATCTCCACCAGCACCTGGAGGAACACAGTGGCTGGGGAAGTGAGGGGTTGGCCACCACAGTGTAACTTCCCCCTTGGCGCAATATGGTCATGATTGTCACTCAGATCTCTCAAGTGGTAAAGCCAGTGGGGAAATGAAAGGGTGGTTTGAATGTCCTCCAGAGCAGACTGGACCTGGGGAGACAGCCGTATCCAGGAACCCACTGCTCTCTGCTGGGCAGTGAGAATGAGGTGGGCAGTCAACCAGTGTGTTAGCGTCTACCCAGAGCCGGGCCCTGTGCAGAGCAAACAGAGGGGAGTGGGATACAGGACAAGTGGATGAGCTTCAGCCCCTCTCTGGAGACACCCCTCTGCGCATGAGGGCCTATTTGTCAGTGTGCCCTCCTGGAGCCATCTGTGGTCATCCCCAGGTGGTCTGTCTGTGTTTGTTTCTTAGATCCTGGAGCCACGCTTCACTGGGGACACCCTAGCTATGCTTCTCAATATTCCACCACAAAAGACGCTCCTCAGACGCCACCTAACCACCAAATTCAGTGCCCTGATTGGTCCTGAGGCTGAGCAAGAAAAGCGAGAGAAAATAGCCTCACCAGCGTACACGCCACTGACCACCACAGCCAAAGTGCGGGTGAGTTGCCAAGCCCTTCCTGGGGTGGCCACAGGGGCCTGCCTTCTAGCACTCGTGTTGTACTGCAGCGGGCCCAGTGCCTGGAGCCAAACCAGCAAGGGCCATGGGGCACACAGATGAGGAGGCTGTCTCAGGTACGGACCTCAGAGCTTGGTCTCCTCATCTGTTTTTGTTCAGCCAGTTCCCTGCCGTACCTGAGTCCAAGGAAGAGAGTAGACTTTTCCGTACACGGACATTAGGTCCCGGAAGCCTCTGCTCTCAGGCATCTGGTGCTTATCCTCTGTCCCAGTGCTGCCTTGACTCATCTCACAAGCAGATGAGCTCACGTTTCTGAGTTCTGTTCGGTCAGGCTCATCTGTGGGCCACACTGCTCTGGGAGGTCTTCCTCAGAACTGTCCTGCCAACATAGGGCGCGCTCCAGTGGCCTTGTGCTGGGGTGGCGGCCAGTACACGGCTGTCCAGGGGTCTCCAGGTCATACGAGCACCAGCAGCACTCACTGGGGCTGTCTGAACTCCACAGAGCTTGTGAGAAACTGCCTGAGCCACACTGTCCTCGGACCATGTCCTCCTCAGACTGCAGGCCCACACACACAATCTCTGGAGGCTGTGTCCCCAGCAGCAGGGGATGCCTAGGTCCAGCTACAATTCATGCACAGACCTCCCTCCCCAAGGGAGCAGGACCACAAGTATGTCTGGGGGAGACCAGCGTGAACAGCAGGAGGGGCTGCCCAGGGCTCTCCGGTGTGGCCTCCCCGGGGCATGAGGCGCTGCGAGCCGCAGAGGCCACGACTGTGTGAGGCAGGTCCTCCACCTCGGCTCCCAGTAGCAGTTCCTGGGTTCCCCTGGGGAGAGTAGAATGTCACTCGTGGGCCAGCAGGGCCTGAGTTTCTTGTACACAGTCTCGGAGGAGCAAGATTCTCTCTCCTTGCTCAAGATTATTTATCTGTTGGCCTTTCTCTAGCCAGGATCTCTGTTTTGTTGAGGATTTTTCCAGAAGTTGTTTGCCTTCTTCCTTTCCTCATGAGCCCGCTCTTATATTGTGAGTTCTATCTGCACACTGACTTGATAAGCCCCTTCTCCTAATCTTGCTTTTATTGTGTTTTAGCCAAGGAAACTAGGATTTTCGCATTTTGGAAACATAAGAAAAAAGAAATTTGATGAGTCGACAGACTACATTTGCCCCATGGAGCCCAGTGACAGTGTTGGTGACAGTCACAGGGCCTACAGTGGCTACCGGGGCCTCAGCCCCCTCGATGCCCCTGAACTGGACAGGCTGGACCAGGTGGGACAGATTAGCTGATGGCCTTGTTATCTGTCCTCTCTGCACCCCGAGAGCTTCACCGTAACACTGCGTGTGTCCCCATAGAGCTGTACCTCACCACCCGCCCCTGTGCATGCCTCGCAGAACATTCCGGCTGCTGTGTACCCCAGGCCAGTCTCTCTCTGAACTCTGGGGGTGGCCAGGGTATGGAGTGGCACTTTTGCTAAGGGGCCAGGCTTTGGGGACTGTTGCCAAAGGTGGAGTCAGGAGGAAAGATGCTTGTACATCTGTAGCAATTTTTAATGGCCATCTTCGGCACCGGTGGAAACACACGACCCTGGACACGGGTTCAGAGACCACGGACAATCCCCAGAGGCTCAGCTCTTGGGCCCTTCTGCTGGGTTTCCACCGAGGGGCAATCTCAAGTGCCTTAGGCCTATGGCCACAGAGTTGTGGCTGAGGCCCCGGGGATGGCAGCAGGGACTCCTGCCGCAGTGACTGCGTAACTGTGTTGTGCCTTAACCACAGAGGTGGTCGCTTCTTTCTGGTAATAAAGACAATATTTATGTAGAAAGCAAATAGCACCACATATCTTTAACCTCACTGGGCAGGGAAGAGAGCTGGGCACAGCTGGAGATGGAGTCCGTGTGCTGCCCAGCATGACGGCGGGTGGCCCTGAGCCAGTCCTCGGCCAGGGGCACACTCGGCATTTGCCAAGTGTCATGGACGAGGAGACTGGAGCAGGGAGGGACCCCGCATCCTTCAGAGGAGGTCTGGGGCCTCTTCACTTCAGGCTCCACCTCCCTCTTACGAAGCTGTGGGGAACCTGGTGCTCACTGACTGTGGGTCACATCTGCCGTGCAGACCCCAGAGTCGGTTTCCGTTTCTGCAGCCTGAGCCTCCTCAGGGGCAGAGGGGGAGACAGGAACGCGGCCTCGTGGAAATTGCCTCTGTTCTTTTATGTGGTTTGTCAGCCTCCCTGCTACTAACCTGGCTGGGCCCGTAACCGTTGTGGGGGCTGGCCGGTCTGTCGGCAGAATGGGAACAGCCCTGGCTTCCTGATTTAGAGGCTGGCTAACTGATAATGGCTCTTCCAGATGGGCCTTGTCTGGACGGGGACTGATGGAGAGACACATCTTGCCAGTCTGGGCTCCTGCTCACGAGATTCCAGTTTGCCTAGGGCAGGGTTTGGCCCTTCTGGGTCCCCCGGGCCTCGTCTGCAAAATAACAGCGACCTCGTAACTGTCTGGTGGCTGGGGCAGGGCTTGATGGCCCCATTGAGGGCACTTTGATTCTGTCCCAGATGGAGGCAGTGCTCTGGTTTGCTTCTTAAACTACCAGCAGCCCCAGGGATGGCCGATAACCCCAGGCCATGACCACCTGGGCCCCCCTAAAGTCAGCCTGGTGCCTGATCCCAGTACCCGGGACACTGAATGGCAGGTGCTCCTCGGGGCTGGTCGCTAGGCGTGGCTGTCATCGAGCTGCAGGACCGGCTTTGTCCCTGATTCCTAGGGTGTCCTGGGGAGAGCATCTCTGCATGCACCTGTTTTCAAACCCTGCATGGAATTTTGTCACTACATTTCTCTCTGGCCTCAAGCAAGGCCTCTGTCCCTTTGTGGGCCTCAGTTTTCCCACCTGGAAAATGTGGGATGATACTTGAAGCCTTCAGAGGATGCTTCTAAATCTACAATGTCTACATAGGCTTAGGGAGGAGGGAGCAGACTAGCAATACCTGAGGAGGAGGGGAGGCGAGGGAGGCTCCTGGCAGTGAGGAAGCTCTATGAGCAGCTCTCTGAGGGTGCCCACCCATACCTACCCTGGGCATCAGCATAGGGGGTTCCGTTGCCACCGGAAGTTGTCTGTGTATTCAGCATGCTGAGGCCTTCATTCCTGCCGCTTTCTGCTTCTAGAAATAGCTGGAGCACTGAGCATGTGTGGAAGGGCTGCTTCTCATCTCCTGTGCACCCTCAGTGTTGGTGCCAGGACAGGCCCTGGGAGAGTGTGCACACAGCAGTGTGGGATACTGGAAGCTCCGGCCTTCCCAAGGACAGAAACAGCATGTGCCCTGCCCAGCTGTCACTCCCCAGGGCCTGGGCCCCCTCCTCACCCACTCCCCAGGACAGGACTTGCATGCCATCCCTGTGAATCACAAGCTGAGTCCATCCGCATGTGCTGACCAGGCTGCTGCCCATTTTACAGATGGCCCCTTCGGAAGGTGCTGTGACGCAGATAGGGCTCCTCTCCCAAGACATTCACCGCCTCACGGTAGGATTCTGACCCTCTCTCTGCAGTAGGCCAGGTGCTGGGGTGGCCCCACGAGTTTGGCGTCGTGATACCCACAGCCTGAGCACCACCCCCCAATCCCAACCTGGGTCCTAGGCTGTGCTAGAAATTGGAAGGATAGTGCTGAGCACTGTGGCCTGAGCTGCTAGGAGCACTGAGAAGGGTCATAGGCCTTGAGCTGAAACCAGCTAAAGCATGCCAGGTCTTGGTCCTCTTCCCAGGCTCAGAGCTGGTGAGGAAACCAAGATGCTTGGCAGTTCCGGGTCACCTGCCTCATCAGCCCAATGCCCGGGCCTCCTCTCTGACTTGGTGAGCACTGCTCTTCCCTCTGCCCATGAGACACATGCATTTTGGGCCATGCCTCTGTCCTCATGGCACTCGTGGGCATGTGGACACATCCTAGTATGCCTCATGGGTACAAACTATCATGAAGGGGCAGAATGGCGTCCAGGAGAGATGCCACTTTGGAGGGAGGCCAATCTGGTTCAAGCCCCTACTCTGCCTCTCACTGACTCTGGGACCTCAGGCAAGTCATTCTCTCTGCGAGCCGCAGCTTAGTTGTCTGTAAAGCCACCTTGCAAGGCTTAGAGACAGACGACAGCTGGCAGGAAAAGTCCAGTCACAGAGAAGATTCACGCTATGGAGGCCCTGTACCTTCCACTGCCCCTTACTTTTGGATGGTCCCATCACGGAGCCCACTGGCTGTAGCCCCTGTCCCCGTCCTTCGCTCACTGATCTATTAGGGCACATTAAGAAGGCTGTATCCAAGGACAAGATGGAAGTGGAGGGAGCGGGGGGCTTCCTGAATCGAAATGAGATCATTTTTATTTTACTTTTCCCTTGGTTTGCACACTGAAGTGAATGCACCCAGCCTTGCCCTCATCACTACTCGCAGGCCTTGGGTGGTCTTGCAATAGCAACTTCCCCTCTAAGGTATGAGCGATGTATTGTCTTAATAGCACAGTCTGTTCTGATTCCGCATGTGGGGTCCCTGGAACCCCGTGAACTTAGGGGGTACCAGTGGTGTCAGATGGGGCCTCACCCAGTGTCCCGCTGCTTCCTGCGTAGCTGCCACACAGCAGCCTTGACCAAAACCCTGTTCAACTGGCCCTTGGGCTGTGTCCTTTCAGACTCTGCTGAGCCAGGACCAGCTGCTGAGTGACTCTCGCCTGGCCGCTCCCAGCCCTGAGGACTGGAGGTGACTTTCTTCGTGGCCAAGAGCCCAGAGAGGCGCGCGTGGGGGCCCCGAGTCTTTGCATCGGGGAGCTGGCATGGCCACCCACAGAGCCCAGATGGGCTGGCAGGACCCCTCGGACGTGTGCGCCGACAGCGAGCAGAGCAGTGAACAGATGTCCAGGAGGGGGCCCCGGGGGCCCTGCGTTTTCAACCATGCTAGGCTCTTCACCGCAGCTTTTATACCTTTTGTACTTTTATATGTGGATTGCCCCCCACTTCTGTGGGGAGGGCAGTGAGACATCAGCACAGACTCAATGGCCCCTGCTCCTCCTGGTGACGTTTGGGAGGTTCTTACGTCAAAGGGGAAGGGCAAGGAGTTCGTAAAACTCTGCTGGAAGAAAATTCTGGAAAAAAAATGTTCTGGCTGTCCTGTAGTGGCTGAGCTGGCTGAAATGACAGGGAGCCCCTCCTGGCTGCTTCCACACTGAGGGGGTACTTCCCTTCACAGGAACCGGCCCAGGGTGAGCACGGCGAAGGAGCAGTGGGACTCCTCCCACGGCCCTTACTGCCCTTGTCCTACCCTCCTCTGCAGCAGGGTGTCAGTTTGTCCGTGCTGCTGGGCCTCCTCAGGTCTGAGCAGAGGCGGCTCTAACACGTGAGCGGACCCCCTAACCCTAGCTGACCTGCAGCGCAGGCTCCCAAGTGCAGGTGTCTGGTCAGATGGCTGCCCCCAGCAGACGGCCCTTGCACACCCCAAACAACGTTTCCACTGCAGCTGGCCATCTCCCCACACAGCCTGTTCCCTGCCGTGTCTCCTTCCTCGGGGAGAGGCCCCATGTGCCCCCAGCCATTCTGTCCCTCCCAGCCAGTCTCCCCACTGGCGACAGCCCCATCCTGCCTGTGACAGACAGCTGAGGCCTCCTCTCCTCTGCTTTCCAAAGCTGGTCTCCTCCCCGGTCCCTCCTCTCCCCAGCTGGTGCCCTGCAGTTCTCTCCCCTGTCCGAGAGCGGCCTTCCCAAAGCACTGTTTTCATCCTGATACCGTTCCAGAATCGAGAGGGGCGTTAAAAAGCCTTAGGCAGTACCCACGGCCCTTCTGAGCCTCCAGCCTCACGAAGCCTCACGAAAGCCTGTGCCGCTGCCTTTCCCTCACCGTGAGGTGTCATTTTCCCCCTGCTCCCCCTCACAAGGCCGAGTTCTGCCTGTCCGGAGCCAGCAAGCCACACGGCTTCTTTCAGGAAGCCTTCACTGATGCGTCGGAGTTTCCTGTGTCCCACTGTGCCGTCAGCCCCTGAGCCCGAGCCCTCCGCGCTCCCCCTGCTGGGTTTCTTTCTCCCTCACACAGCCACCATCAGCACAAAGGCACTGAGCAGCTGCTGTGGGCACACTCCCGTACCGCCGGCCCTGGTCCCCAAACCGCTCAGGGACTCCACGCATGCCGCCATGCCGTGCTCCAGCCACTCACCCCTTCGTATGTTAAGCATGTTCCATGCCAGGCTGAGGGCTGGAGGTCTAGGCACGAATGTCAGGGTGCTTTTCTGAGGGTGCTGATGCTCTAGTGGGGGTTACACCTGTTTTAAGCTGAAAGGTACAGATGCTCCAGTAGAAACCAGTTGTCCTTTTTAATGGAGAGCTGGGGGAGTGGCCAGAAAAGACTTCAAGGAAGAGGTGCTCCCTGGATTTCAGACATGAATCGGTTCCCCGAGTGTGCCAGAGGGGAAAGGTGTGGTAAGCTCTGTGTTAGAGGAAAGTACGAGGGTGGGCTCTTACTCATCATACTGTGCCCAGCAGAGTATCTTTTCCAAGTAGGGATCTGCTGAGGGTGTGCTGAACACACGCATGGATGAAGGCTCGCAGCCCCTCCCCCCCACTCACCCCCCCACCTATCAAACCCATACCCACCCTCTGTGAGACCATCCCTAGGCAGGGCACAGCTGCACCCTCTCCTATCCCCCCCCACGCACGCACACATATCCAGTGACACCCTTGCAGCAGCAATGCTAACAATGCCAGTTTTTGCAGAAAGGAAAGGAATTAAGCACCCAGGTCTGAAGCCCAGCTTTGCTGCCTCCTGTTAGAAGGACCTGAAGATAATAACTTCGTCTTAGAGCT